TTTTTGTATTTTTAGTAGAGACGGGGTTTCACCATGTTGACCAGGATGGTCTTGAACTCTTGACCTCGTGATCCACCCGCCTCGGCCTCCCAAAGTGCTGGGATTACAGGTGTGAGCCACCACGCCCGGCCCGCCTGGCTACATTTTTTATTTTTAGTACAGATGGGGTTTTACCATGTTGGTAAGGCCGATCTCAAACTCCTGACCTTGTGATCCGCCCGCCTTGGCCTCCCAAAGTACTGGGATTACAGGCTTGAGCCACTGCACCCAGCCACATTTTTGTATTTTTAGTAGAGACAGGGTTTCACCATGTTGGTCAAGCTGCTCTCGAACTCCTGACCTTATGATCTTCCCGCCTTCGCGACCCAAAGTGTTAGGATTACAGCCATGAGCCACTGCACCAGCCAATGTATTAATTTTTAAAGGTAAAAACAAGGTTGACAATGTTTAAAAAAAAAAAAAAAAAAAAAAAAAAAAAAAAAAAAAAAAAAAAAAAAAAAAAAGTCGTCAAACTCACAGAAGCAGAAAATGCTGGTTTTCAGAGATGGAATTTTTGGGGGACATTGCGGAAACACTGGTCAAAGGACATAAGATTTCATGTGAAATCGTTCAACATGGTGACTATAGTTACTATCTGTATACTTGAAAATTGCTAAAAGAAAACCTTAAGTGTTTTCACCACAAATATCTTAGTATGTGAGGCAATGCACAGGTTGATTAGCTTGACTTAGCCATTCCACATTGTGTACATCTGTCAAAACATGTTGTGCATCATTAATTTTTATTTGACTATCAAAAAAAAAAAATACAGTCATCCCTTAATATTCATGGAGGATTGGTTCCAAGACCTTCTGTGGATACCAAAATCCAAAGATATAAAATGGCACCTCCTCCCACATACTTTAAATCATCTCTAGTTTACTTAGAATACCTTGTACAAGGTAAATGCTATGTAAATAGTTGTTATGTGATTTAGGGAATAATATCAAGAAAATCGGTAAATATGTAATTTATTTTTCAAATGTCTTCAATCCAAGGTTGGGGCTGAATCTATGAATGTGCAACCCACAAATACAGAGGGTCGACCGTATTTGCTAACATATAATGTTTCAGAGAGCTTTTTTTTTTTTTTGAGATGGAGTCTCGCTCTGTCGCCCAGGCCAGGCTGGAGTACAGTGGCACGATCTCAGCTCACTGCAACCTCCGCCTCCAAGGTTCAAGTGGTTCTCTTGCCTTAGTCTCCCAAGTAGCTGGGATTATAGGCACCCACCACCACATCTGGCTAATTTTTTTTTTTTTCAAGACAGTATTGGTCTGTCACCCAGGCTGAAGTGCAGTGATGCAATCTTGGCTCACTGCAACCTCTACCTCCCAAGTTTAAGCAATTCTGCCTTAGCCTCCCAAGTAGCTGGGATTATAGGCACCCACCACCACATCTGGCTAATTTTTTTTTTTTTCAAGACAGTATTGGTCTGTCACCCAGGCTGAAGTGCAGTGATGCAATCTTGGCTCACTGCAACCTCTACCTCCCAAGTTTAAGCAATTCTGCCTTAGCCTCCCAAGTAGCTGGGATTATAGGCACCCACCACCACATCTGGCTAATTTTTTTTTTTTTCAAGACAGTATTGGTCTGTCACCCAGGCTGAAGTGCAGTGATGCAATCTTGGCTCACTGCAACCTCTACCTCCCAAGTTTAAGCAATTCTGCCTTAGCCTCCCAAGTAGCTGGGATTATAGGCACCCACCACCACATCTGGCTAATTTTTTTTTTTTTCAAGACAGTATTGGTCTGTCACCCAGGCTGAAGTGCAGTGATGCAATCTTGGCTCACTGCAACCTCTACCTCCCAAGTTTAAGCAATTCTGCCTTAGCCTCCCAAGTAGCTGGGATTATAGGCACCCACCACCACATCTGGCTAATTTTTTTTTTTTTCAAGACAGTATTGGTCTGTCACCCAGGCTGAAGTGCAGTGATGCAATCTTGGCTCACTGCAACCTCTACCTCCCAAGTTTAAGCAATTCTGCCTTAGCCTCCCAAGTAGCTGGGATTATAGGCACCCACCACCACATCTGGCTAATTTTTTTTTTTTTCAAGACAGTATTGGTCTGTCACCCAGGCTGAAGTGCAGTGATGCAATCTTGGCTCACTGCAACCTCTACCTCCCAAGTTTAAGCAATTCTGCCTTAGCCTCCCAAGTAGCTGGGATTATAGGCACCCACCACCACATCTGGCTAATTTTTTTTTTTTTCAAGACAGTATTGGTCTGTCACCCAGGCTGAAGTGCAGTGATGCAATCTTGGCTCACTGCAACCTCTACCTCCCAAGTTTAAGCAATTCTGCCTTAGCCTCCCAAGTAGCTGGGATTATAGGCACCCACCACCACATCTGGCTAATTTTTTTTTTTTTCAAGACAGTATTGGTCTGTCACCCAGGCTGAAGTGCAGTGATGCAATCTTGGCTCACTGCAACCTCTACCTCCCAAGTTTAAGCAATTCTGCCTTAGCCTCCCAAGTAGCTGGGATTATAGGCACCCACCACCACATCTGGCTAATTTTTTTTTTTTTCAAGACAGTATTGGTCTGTCACCCAGGCTGAAGTGCAGTGATGCAATCTTGGCTCACTGCAACCTCTACCTCCCAAGTTTAAGCAATTCTGCCTTAGCCTCCCAAGTAGCTGGGATTACAGGCGCATGCTACCACAACTGGCTAATTTTTGTATTTTTTCAGTAGAGATGGAGTTTTACCATATTGGCTAGGCTGGTCTCAAACTCTTGATCTCATGATCTACCTACCTCAGCCTCCCAAAGTGCTGGGATTATAAAACTTATTTTTGTACTTTTAGCAGACACGGAGTTTGGCCAGGCTGTTCTTGAACTCCTGACCTCAAGTGATCCACCACACCCAGCCTCAGAGAATATATTTTAAGAAAACATTAGCCTGGTCAATATGGTGAAACCCCGTCTCTACTAAAAATACAAAATTAGCCATATGTGGTACAATGTTCCTATAGTCCCCCCTACTCAGGAGGCTGAGGCAGAAGAATCACCTGATCCAGGAAGGCGTAGGTTGCAGTGAGCCAAGATGGTGCCACTGCACTCCAGCCTGAGCGACAGAGTGAGACTCCATCTCAAAAAAAGAAACAAAAACAAAGTGAGACCACACGATTTGTGTCTGCTAGCCATTAATCATTCTCTTACAGAACAAAAAGCTATGGTCTGAAACTCTCTTTTCCTTGCCCTGGGCTGAACCCCTCCCTGACTCCCCAGTGACTTTTTCTTTTCTTTTTCTTTTTTTATTTTCTCTTGAGGAATACAGTTGAACCCACTGACTTTTTCAAGGTCCTTCCTGTGCTGACTGGCTCAGATTCAACACCCTCTAAGATGGTACTCATCTACCGGGTGCTGAGCACTTCATGTGAACGATTTCATTAAATCTTTTTTTTTTTTTTTTTTTTTGAGACAGAGTCTTGCTCTGTCACCAGGCGCCAGGCTGGAGTGCAGTGGCGCGATCTCAGCTCACTGCAACCTCTGCCTCCTGGGTTCAAGCAATTCTCCTGCCTCGGCCTCCCTAGTAGCTGGGACTACAGGCGTGTGCCACCATGCCCAGCTAAGTTTTTCTATTTTTTTTAGTAGAGATGGGGTTTCATCATGTTGGCCAGAATGGTCTCAATCTCTTGACCTCGTGATCCGTCCGCCTCGGCCTCCCTAAGTGCTGAGATTACAGGAACGAGCCACTGCGCCCGGCCTGAATGCATTAAATCTCTCTAAGCCCCTCTCAGGTCAGGCACCAATCTTATTTTCTTTTTACAGACAAGAAGAAAGGCTCAGAGAGGATGGGCATTCGAGGCTGGAGGGAAGAAGCTGGGCCCTGAGCTCACCTCTTTGCAGTGCTGTTCCCTCAAGAGGTCTCGGAGGGTGCGGTTGGTCTCTTCAAATGTGCTCAGCTTCTGCAGGAGAAGTTCCTTCTGCCTCGTCAGGGTGTTGATGTCCGTGCAGGTCATTTGTTTCTCCTGAAAGACAAGCAGGCAGTCTTACAGATGTGGGGGAAGAGGGAAGAAGCAGGCCCCATGGGCACTCGAGGGCTGGTGTCAGAAAGCCCAGACAAGGAGAGCCAGGCTGTGTATAGCGCCACGGTGATCAAGGGCAGGATTCCCGGAGGCGGTGGACCCAAAGGGACAAGCAGGAGCTAAGCCTGCTGTGAGCAAAGGTGGAGAAAGGGGTGGGAGAATGTGGGCAAATACAGTCAGGGCAGACTTCCTGAAGGAAGCAAAGGAGGATGACAAGAACTAGTGGCTGATACTTGCAGGAATCAACCACATGCCTTGACTCACTGTGATCCCAGGTGACCCATGATGAGGTCTCCTCACAGGCGGTGACCAGAGGTCATCTTTAAGGGTCAAGGATTGGGAAGTGAGAGTGGTAGGTGGGGGCCTGGGGGTTAAGCATGCCCTCCCCCAGCCTGAAGATGTCATAAAGACTGCCTGATGACTGCATAAAGACCCCACCACAGCCTGCAGCTGCCCCCTCCCTGGGACAGTTCCATGACTGGGGTCCTCCCACCTGCCACCTACCGTTTTCAGCTTCCCGATGGTATCCTTCAAGGCCATGACCTGCTTGGCAGCTGCAGCCCCATCCATTTCCGCCTCTACCAGCTTGGACATGAGGCACTCCTTCTCCTGTTGTAGGTGTTTCTTCTGAAGTCTAGGGCCAGAAAGACAGGGCTCTGTAAGCCCTCCCAGCCCCCGCATGTCCAGAGCTCCAAGCTTGCCTCACAATGCCCTGGGAAGCCACCTCTGGTTAGGAAAAAGTGGGGGAAGGGGCAGGGACAGCCCTTCTGGCCTGGGTGGCCTTCTGAAAGGACCAAGGCCAGAAGTTACATTTGCCTGGGCAGCAGACCATGGCCTCCACACCAAGAGACATTAGCTACCTGTGGCCTTGTTTCTCTCAAACACCCACCATTATCATCTCTGCACACCCCCCAACACCACGCCCTCCTATCCACCATCTTCAGATACACTTTTGAGCCCTTCTATCTCTTCTCTACGCTGGAGTCAAGGTTTTTAAAACCTTTCTATGGCTCTAGGCCAGGTATAGTGGCTACTGCCTGTAATCCCAGCACTTTGGGAGGCTGAGGCAGGTAGACCACTTTAGATCAGGCATTTGAAAGCAGTCTGGCCAACAGGTGAAACCCCATTTCTACTAAAAATACAAGTTAGCCAGGCATGGTGGTGAGCACCTGTAATTCCAGCTACTTGGGAGGCTAAGGCAGGAGGATCACTTTAGCCAAGGAGGCAGAGATTGCAGCGAGCCAAGATCATGCCACTGCACTCCAGCGTGGATGACAGTGTGAGACTCCGTCTCAAAATAAACAATTTTTTTTCTTATATGGAGTCTCGCACTGTTGCCTGGGCTGGAGTGCAGCAGCACAATCTCAGCTCACTGCAACTTCCGCCTCCAGGGTTCAAGCAATTCTCCTGCCTCAGCCTCCCAAGTAGTTAGGATTATAGGCGCCCGCCACCATACCCAGCTCATTTTTTGTATTTTTTTTT